GGGAGGGTGGCCACGCCGCAATCCCTTCTCCTCCATTCTCCTCTCGGGATCTTGGGCACGCACGCACACGCGCCCAGCGTGAGTTTAAGCCGCTGAGTCCAGGACTCGAACCGCAGTCAACTACATGGGAGTCCAGCGACATAGCCATTACGCTAACTGCTGGTCCCAGAAGAAAACTTTTCAAACCTAGAGAGGCAGTCAAAGATCCAGTCCCAAGAAATACAAAGGACCCAAGTAGAATCAACTCAAGAAGATCTTCTCCAAGACACATTATAACCAGAGTGACAAAAACCACAGACAAAAACAAGATACTAAGATTGGCAAGAGAAAAACAGCAAGTTACCTACAAAGGGTATCCCATCAGGCTAACAGCGGACCTCTCACTGGAAACAATGTGAGCAAGGAAAGAATGGGAAAATATATTCAAAGTGGTAAGGGAAAAGTAATTTCAACCAAGAATACTGAACCCAGCAAGATTATCCTTCATATGGAAAGAAAAGATAAACAAAACTTGAAAGAATTTACCAATACCAAGACCACCTCTCCAATAAAAAAAAGAACTTGAAAAACATTAAAGTTAGAGATCTCATCATTTTCTTTGTCTATTTTTAAAAAGAATTATCTATTTAATTTTATAGTAGAGACAAGCCTGGAGTCGAATATTATATCCCATAATTTGAAAGAGAAGGTCGGACCACGACCGAAGATAACTTTAGATAACATGAGACTGAATTGGCGAAATAGCATTTTATGCCTTTTGAATAAAACATGACTGATTTTCTTTTAGGCTTTATTTTCCAGTCTTAAGGATTTGTGTCCTGACTTGAGCTGCTGATAGGTTCACGTGTCTACTATTTGAACTGAATCCTTTTTTTTTTTTTTTTTTGGAGAAATTTTTGCTATAGGGTGTGTGCACTCTCCAGAAAGAAAGAGAGCCAGAAAGCGAGAAATTAACCCCCAGGGGGGATGGCCACACTGCAGTCCCTTCTCCTCCATTCTCTTCTCGGGATTTTGGGCACACGCGCCTGACATGAGTTTAAGCCACCGGGTCCAGGACTCAAACTGCAGTGGACTACATGGGAGTCCAGTGACATAGCCATTATGCTAACTGCTGGTCCCTGAACAGAATCCTAACCTGTTTTCTGTCTTTAAGTTTTAAGCAGTTCCTTAGCATTTCTTTGATTTATTAAAGCTAAAACTGTTT